CAAGAGTTTTGAAAGTTACTTTTGAACTTTTAGCTTACTGCTCTGAGATTTGAGTCAAAGGTTGATACACCAATTTTTTTCTATTGCAACCTCCAACAAATAAGCTAATTGATGTTTTTCCACTTGGAATCTCATAAATCATCCCTCCACATACCATAAAACGAACTCGAGGCTGCCGTAATCGTCGGGATTGCGCCCGTATCCACTTTCTAAAGCTACCGCTCAAATTATCAGCTTAATGCGCTTACGGCACCCCACCAAAAAAAGACCTCTGGATTTAAGAACACCACGCTTGCATTGTTTTTTCTTTTTGAATTTCTAGTGTAAAAGTGTGATGGATCAATATCAATCACAGGGTTTGCCCAGGAGAAGTTTTACAAGCACATCCTCTTCCCTTTTTGGAAACAGTGCAACATCCACTTTTTCAACAGGACATTGCACGACCTCATGTCACACGTGCTATTTTAGACTTTTTAGAAGCGTTCGGAGTAAATCTGGTTCAGTGACCTCGATTTCTAGACCTTTCTCCCATCGAACATGTATGGGATATGTTGGGAAGCTTACAAAATTCACCGCACTCTCCACAAACATTGGAGTCCTTACGAAACCAAATTCAGATGGCCTCTGATACAATACACCAAGAACACACATCAGTCAACACATTATTAACATTAAGGTGGGATAGCTCAGCTATTTTGAGAAATTTCGAGATAAAATTTTTGTCACTTTCTATGTATCTGTAGAACTAAAACTTGTAAAACTATGCTCAGCACTCCTAGTCGGTGTTGCCTTTTCTGTATCATTTAGTATATATCTAGGGCTCATTGAACCAATGCCCTATATATATAACAAAAAGTAGTAAATTAATAATCCGCAAAAAGGAGGAAAGTGGATTCGAGCAGAAAATACGATAGGTAACCCGAGCGATACGTATTTCTGCTGGTTGGCTTCATCAGGCCCGAAATGAATGCACATATGAAACTACAAAAGTAGATAAACATGCCCACACATCCGGATCGGGTGTAACCTGAGGAAACGGAGATGGAGAGGGAAAAAACGACACACGATGTCCACAATAAGAGCCTTTCCTACACATCGTAGTATAAAATAGCTAGAAGACCTCGAATTTTCAAGGATACATCTAACTACAACCACGCGGCCGGTTATAGCCACTTGCTGTGGTACTTCAAGCCCAAATGATCTACAAAGAGAAAATGATCATGCGGAGAAAGGTATATAACAAAAAGTAGGAAAATAATGGGCAAAATTCGCAAGAAGGAGGAAAGTGCATTCGAGCAGAAAATCGGATAGATAACCCGAGCGATATGTATCGTATCGTATACCTTTCTTCACGTGATCATTCTCTCTCTCTCTCTCTCTCTCTCTCTATATATATATATATATACTGAGTGACAAAGAAAGGTAAACACCTAAATAAACACCTACGTATGTTTATCCGATTTCAATAATTTTTGCCATTATGTTCCCTTAGTAGTAAAATGATTAAATCTTCGGCTTGATTCGTCAACTGACTGCAGACGCTGGTGCAATAATGTGTTGAGCATCCACGATTTCTTATACACTCATTGACACGCCTCGACATCGTGCTGTTTAGGTGGTCGATATCCTGTTGGGGTATCTCATTCAGGCTACTGCAACTTTGTGAGAAAGAGCGCTGCTAAAGTTTGTGGAGGGTGTTTCAAATTCAACAGCCTGCGACCTATCATGTCCCAGATATGTTCAATTGGAGATAGGTCAGGCGATCATGGTAGCCAAGGTAAACTGTCGTATTCGGCGATATACCGTACGCATACCAATCATCCTTCCATGCTCTTCAACCCACTGATTAGCGATGGCTCGAGTACTACTGAGTCTTCACCGGCGGTCTTGTCACTCTGTGGTCACTCAGGGACGTCGAGAAGCCCTCGCTCGTCATCCTCGGCCTGCCTGAATCCACGCTCGTTGACACTGCAGAATACTGCATAAGGATCTGTTGGTTCTCCTAGAAACTTCTCTTATCGATAAGCCGGCTTCACGCAACCCGACAATTCGACCCCTCTCAAGGTCACTTAGCAGGGAGACCCGGCGAATCTATGCACTCTAGGCATTTTGAGCAATCACAGAAAGGCTTCTCAATAAGCTGCATGAAATTTAACATCTGACACCGTAACTGTACGAAAATGGAATGCTTATTTATCACCAAACAATACACGCAGCCACCACAAAAACTTGACAGAAAAACCTGACCATTTTGTCACTTGTTGTTCACGGCAAGATAAATCGATATGTAAAAAATTCTTGCATTCTAATAAACATACGTACCTAGGTGTTTACCTGTTTTTGTCACTTAGTATAAATGAAGACATATCTATATAGTGTTACAAGGTCACACCCTCTCTTCAATTTCCAATTGCTAGCAACATAGCGGTAGAAAATATCAGTGATATAACCGGTTTCCAGACTACTCACTTTTCCTTCCAAAATACTCGTTTTTCCCTTTTTTTTTCAACGACTGTGGTTCGTGCTGTCAAAGACAAACGAAGCATTTTCAGACCTATCATTATACAGGGTGGCCCATAAGTCCTTTGAGCTGGAAAAAAAGGAATAAAACCAAACTAGTTACATTATGAAGAATTATTATATTTTGTTATCATCTTTATTGAATGGGAATTATGTTTTAAAAATCACATCGTCTAAATGCAATCCATTACGATCACGGCACTCATATAAGCGACGTCTAAAATTGTCGATGACTGCGCGGCAAGTCAACACTGTAATGCTTGCCATTTCTCTTCGGATATTTTCGTTCAGGACATCAACTGATCGCGGAGTGGTGTCGTACACTTTACTCTTGAGGTAGCCCCATAAAAAGAAGTCCATTGGGGCCAAATCTGGACTACGTGGTGGCCAGGAAATGTCTCCTCTTCGAGAAATTACTTTGCTGGGAAAAAGTTGACAGACGACGGGCATAGAAGTGTTGGAGGTGTGGGCAGTTGCTCCGTCCTGTTGAAACCAGGTCTGCGTATTATAGCCTGGAAAATTCTGCAACGCTGGTGTCAAAAACTCTTCTATCATTGCTACATACCGCTCCGAAGTAACAGTTAATGCGCGATCTCTGTCGTCCTCAAAAAAATAAGGGCCTACGATGCCATGCGCTGACATAGCAGCCCAAACTGTAACTTTAGGGCTGTGTAAGGGCTTCTGCTGCTTACGCCTTGGATTTTCGGGGCTCCAATAACGGCAATTTTGTTTATTTACATGCCCGTTTAAATGGAAGTGAGCCTCGTCCGAGAACAACACATTATTGAGCGAAGAAAATCGATTCAACATGTCATTCGCAAAGTTTAGTCTCTGAATAGCGTCATTATCTTTTAATTCCTGCACTAACTGAATTTTGTAAGCGTGCAGACGTAAATCTTTCCTTAAAATCCGCTGTAAAGATGTTCTGGGTACGTTTAGTGCACTGGAACGGTTACGAGTAGACTGGGTAGGATTTTGACGAACAGACTGTGCCACAATGTTGATGTTTTCTTCAATACGAGTTGTCCTTGGTCGACCCCACCGCTGTTTATCTAACGTCGAACCAGTCTTTTCGAACTTAGCAACCCAGTTCTTAATCGTTTGAGCTGTTGGACACTTTGTAAAATTGTGTAAATTGTGGTATTCTCGATATTTACGCCGCGCAATGGTTGCCGAATCATTATTTTGATAAAACGCGCGCACACAAAAAGCACGATCCGCTCCAGTGAAACACTCCATGGCGACTGAATTCCCAGACACTGAAGATACTGCCCCCACCTCGCCCGCGCCGCTCACGCTCACCCGTTAAATTTTATTCAAATTTGAAATTTCAAAGGACTTATGGACCACCCTATAAACTTTTAGATCTGTTCTTCCGTTTTCCTGGCAACACCTTGTACATAAACTATTCTCAGAAGAAAATAAAACGATGTGACTGGTTTTCCGATATATCTCCATAGTGTCCGTGTGAGTCGAGCTTATAAATTCCTACAACGGAATTCAATTTTCACTCCAGACATAATTCATACCCTCCACGGACCTTATTCTTGAAGTATGCGACGTACGAAGACTATCTAGAAAAGCTGAGAAAGCATTTGCGTAAAATACCTCACGGAAGTCTGCATCTTGGAAAATGCACTCTTAGTATTTTTCAGATTTTCTCCGATGGAAATCACCTTCAAAATAAAGGCGCTTACACACGGGGTATTTTTTCTGTTTATCTATAACCCACTGTGAAAATAGTTGTATTAAGCTAGCTTTTTGCTGATATGATATGGTTACCATTAATGATAACACGTCGAAGTCGACAGAAGGGGCTACAATTTTTTGATCAAATTTGGAGTATACAGTAAAATTAAATGCGATACACAATACTCTGGAAACTACCGATTAGTTTTGGCACAAAATTCATTGGCTATAATTTTAACAAACACAAAATAATATCAAGTTACCTTTGGAAACAAAAGTTGGTTTACTTACCTTACTGTCGGTTGACATTTATTTATTTTGAAGTTTTCCCTTTAAGATGTCGTATAAATTAGAAATAAGAAAAATTATTTACAAGTTGGTTATGCGGGCACCCAAAGCTGAAATCTGTCGAGTATGCCGGAATGAAAACATTTCATACAGAACCATTTGTCGAACACTAGCGGAGTGCGAGCGGGGAATACCATGTCTGAACCTCCCAAAAAGTGGAAGACCACGTGCATTTACTGCACAGAGATCATAGAGATTGGTGAGAAGAGCAAAAAATTAGGTTGGAATGTCAACAAGGAATTGGAATGGTCTTAAATATCGAAAGAGACTTGATTGCCCCCAAATACTCCCAAGCACAACTTTTACTGCGCAGATAAGGAGCGCCAACTTTCACCATCCTGGGCCATCAAGATTATGACTTTAGGTTATAGTATAGCAAGCAGAAACATATTTTACACGCATCTCCGTCAGACGGTCGAAAGTACAAGCTCTGATTTTCTCCATGGTGAAACTTTATTCTGAGCAAAGTGTGACCATTGATTTCTCCTCCAGCGATAAAGTTATCCTCGAATGTGGAATCTAATCTCTTTTCACTTTATTTTTCAGATATAACTCTTTCGAGAGAGCCAACCAATTTGAGGATATATAAAAAGGTAAGTCTCCTGTGGCCGAAGCCCGGATTTTACACGTCTGAAAATGAAGCAAACGTAAATCTTGAAAGTACACTGGAATATAAATGTTTCGTTAACATGTACACGAATTATTTAAACACTTTTTACTTGTAGGTTTTTTAAAAAAAATAGAGGCGATGAAAGCATTTTTACTTTTATAAATATCTTCGACTCATCTTTATTTAATGCCATATTTTGAAAAATACACGTCTTTGAGATACTAATATTCCAAATGTAAGGTAACATAAACTGACAGTAATGTTTTCTTATTTAGAATTTATAGTGTATCTTTGCCTTCCGTTTTTTTTATGATAGTTGGATTGGAAAAATTATATTTAAATCACGTCATGCTTTAAAAAATCAAGTTGAGCTCACGTAAATCGCTGCAAGAGCTCTGGTTTCACCGAGATAAAAAATTGAAATTTTTCCAGAACAAATATTTATAATGGCCAAGAAGAAAATTTAATTAAAACAGAGTAAATTGCGAGAGGAAATTGAAATTTTAATGTACCTCGATTATGAATTAATGGAAAAGTTAAATATGTAAATCAGGTTTGAACTATGTTTAATCAACTTTAGGCTACAAAATAATGAAAAGATCAAAAAGGCCTTGACTTATATCTTATCAAGAATTTCTAAATGATTCGAGATTGTTCTTCGAAACAATATAAAAATTGTTCAAGTATTAAAAAGCATATTTTGTCGATATTATGAAATATAAACACGATATAGCATTTTTGGTCATCTGTATATACTATGACATTCTACTTGATCTATTTTCACTATATTTCTAGATTTATATGAAAGCATCATTTGCATTTGAAAAAACTCTAAACGATAATACATAGAAATTATTATGAAATGTTTTCACATTTACACATACTCTAAAAACTAGCTTGATCTTTTGTACGAGAATTGGGATATGATTAGACTGGAAGCTAACACCGACACTTGAAATTGACCGGAATGAGAAACTTGTACAAAATACTTATAAGCAGAAGTCTAATGTGGTTAATTGATAGCGCAGCTTTTTGAAACGTCGCTTGATTTGCTGTTATATTGTTATATTTTGTGGAATTTGTTAACGGAGATATATTTGTTGCTGCCGAAATACTTTTGGGATGAAGAAATAGCAAACAAAGAAAGAGTTTACTACACAAGAAGTTGCTGTGGAAGATAATGAAAAAATGAACTGTGTGCTTTGTTCTATAGGCAATATTCTAACTGGACATGGAAAGATTCCAGAGAAAAGACTTCGTACATAAAATTAATTTAGTCATACGAACATTCATCGCTGTTTATTATCTAAGGGATCGCAGAAATTTGATTCCTCTTTTAACAGACCATGAGTTACTCATTACATTTACCAAGTAACGAATGTTATAGAATTGTCAGAGGGGCAATAGTTAAACATATTGGAATCAAACCGAATCGAGTTGTATGTGAACCATGATACAGGATCAGGCAACAATGATAGGTGAAAAATCTCGTATCAGTATTTTCTCAAAATACAATACCGACCGCTTTTTAGCTATGATGGAAGTACCGTAAGTGGTCTACTTGCTTCAGGATATATTTATGTATTGATTCATAATAAGCCATCAAGCATCAAACATGACAATACTTTTCTCGTCAGATATTCCTTGAAACAGCTAGCAAATTGCAGATATACAGCTTCATTCCAGAACGTTTTTGACAGAACAGACATCGAAAAATGTCGCTAACGGTCTGTTGATTTAATACTACACAGTGTTACAGTAAATTAGTGAAATAGTGTCAAGATATGTCAAACACCTGATTAGGGACAAGAAGCTGGAATTTACCATAAAAATGTTTTGTTGATCAACTGTATCAATAATTTGTATCAAAACATGGAGAGAACAAATCAAATGCTCCTCGTTCCTATTCAAACACAGTCCTCATGTATCCACGTTACTTGCACTAGAATTTCAGCTATTCACGTTCTCAAACGAAGACGAATATCGACAAAGACGTAAATATCTTGGTTGGTCACGTTTTAAGGATATCCACTTAACTACTGGTTGCTGGGAAGGCATGGCAGGCAATCTGTCAAAAGTCGAATGAGGCCGAAAACCCATCCTCAACCTACATGCTCTTAACGAGGGAGGAATTTGTCGACGACTTGGGGGAGACATCCGAAAATCCAGGCACGCTCCCACCAATCAGCACCGATGAAAAATTGTTTCTTGAACGCTACAGCGGCAACATGGACAGCTTGGTTTGCCATCCCTTATCCGAATTTCAGAACGATCCAAACTGGTTGCTGACACGTAGATTACTAATTTTTTTGTATAAAAAACACTTTTAGTAAAACAATCTTGTGAATAGTTGACCAATACTTTGACATAAACTGGTGGACAGTTGCTTTGCAACATGGAAACCAACTCTTTGAGAACACGTGCAGGGTTCGAGCGGTATATTTATTTTATTTATCCACTTATACTAGGTGTGCCAAGGAAGTCAGGTTTGGGGCTGTCAGAATTTCAATTTTTGATCTTGGAATTTTTTCTAGGCCTACCTTTTGATCTTTGGACTATCCTAAAGAAAGTAATTTCACAAATTTTTCGAAAGTTAACTATCGAATTTTAAAAAATATGTATCCCTAAAAAAAGGGACTTTTTTGAGGTTTCTCTTGAGAATGGGTATTTTTCCCCCCATTTATTCCACTGTGGCGCCTTCCTGCAATAAATGACTTTGGGCCCGACCCCGTATTTTTTTATTACCTCCTCCATGCAAGAAGGGCGATTTCCGGTAACCTGGTATCTACGCCTTAAACACTGATCAGCATTATAAGTTAAAGCTACATCATTCACTAAACGACCTTCTCCCAATAATCTTATAGAATTTTCTCAATATTTTTGAAAAAAACGAGGCATTTTTGAGAAAATAAAATTTTACTCTCAGTCAATATTATTGGTACTTAGCAATTGTATATTTGAGGTGTAGTTAATTAGGAACACAAAATTATACTGTCAAGTCTATAGTCAATATTATATTTAATTAGCAGTTGCATTTTTGAGGTGTAGGTAGTCAAGATGAAACCGGAGGAACATCCTACTTGCATAGAGAGGTTAATCCAAAAAACATACGAGGTCGAGCTGAAAGACATACACATAAAGGGTGGTCCATTTAAAATTTTTTTTTTAAAAATGCTATAAAAAAAAACTACTAAATATTTTTCCAAATTGTTTTTTTATTTGAAAGTACAATCCTTCCGATTAAGTATGGAATACAACTTCATTTAAATGACTGCCGCGGCTGGCTTTGCAGTAGCCCATACGGTTAGTCCAATTTTTGACCACATTTTCAATCGTATGTGGCTGTATTTCAGCAATGCAAGCGCGTATGTTCTCTTTTATTTCGCCAATTGTTGCTGGTTTGTTGGCATAACATTGGTCTTTAACGGCACCCCATAAATAATAATCTAATGGGGTCAAATCACAGCTCCGAGGCGGCCAAACAACATCAGAATTTCGGCTGATAATGCGATCACCGAAAACACTTCGCAGAAGAGCAATCGTAGCGTTTGCTGTGTGACACGGAGCACCGTCTTGTTGAAACCAGATGTTACCGACATCAATATCTTGAATTTGTGGAAAGAAAAATTCATTTATCATGGTACGGTAACGCTCACCATTCACAGTAACTGCTGCTCCGGCTTCATTTTCAAAGAAAAATGGGCCAATGATGCCACCAGCCCAAAATCCGCACCAAACAGTCACTCGTTCTGGATGCATTGGCTTTTCTTCGATTGCGTGTGGGTTCTCTGAACCCCAAATGCGGCAGTTTTGCTTATTAACATAGCCGCCAAGATAAAAATGCGCTTCATCTGAAAAGATGATTTTTCGACCAAAATCAACATCTTCATCAAGTTGATTGCAGGCCCATGAAGCGAAGCGAAAACGCATTGGATGGTCAGTTGGCTTCAATTGCTGAACCAATTGAACTTTGTACGCCTTCATACCAAGGTCTTTATGCAAAATTCGACCTAATGATGTGCGTGAAATGTTCAATTGTTGAGAACGTTGGCGAGTTGATGTGCTTGGAGACTCTGCCACACTCTCAGCTACAGCATCGATATTCTTCGGTCTTTCGCGTGTTGGTTTGTCAATAAGAAGACCAGTTTCACGAACTTTTTGCACAAAATACCTCACATACGGTGCTGACGGTGCTTCATTTCTTCCCATTTTTGCACGTAATTTTCGGACACAATCTGCAACATTACCACCACTTTCGAAATATTGTTTTAATATTTCCCAGCGTTGTTCAAGCGAATACACAACCATTTTCGTTAATCGGAATGATAAGACTGATGTTCTGTCGAATCAGATGCGAAATAAGTCTTGACATATCCCAAAAAACCAGTAACTCAAAAAAAAACGATAGATGGACCACCCGGTATATTGCGAGCAGTTGAAAATTCGACAATTTGAGTTATAGCCAAGTTACGGAAAATTTGAGAAATTCCTTTTTTTAGGATAGTCCAATGATCAAAAAGATGTATGGAAAAATTTCAAAATTTCCAAAAATTGAGAATCTGGCATAGCTCCGAACTTTGCTAAAAAAACCTGGCTTCCTTTGCTCACCCTGTATAAGTGGATAGATAAAAGAAATATACCGGTCGAACCCTGTACGTGTTCTCAAAGAGTTGGCGAAGAACCTCCCGAATTCCACAACTCGATATCTCTTTCCGTTCCGAAAATATCGAGATTTGAATTTGGGTAAAATTTTCCATGTAGCAAAGCAACTCTCCACCAGTTTACTAGTAGTATGTCAAGTCTACTTGTAGTATGCACTGCAGACCGAGATTTTGGAGGCAAACAAACCGTAGGTTTGCCCCTTCTGACTAGTCTGAATTTGTTAATTGTGCCAGAGCTAGAATTTGAGGACGATCCAAACACGCTGGGCGAACATAGATTTGTAGGGTTTAGTGTAATAATAAAATCTTTCAAAAGGCTTGAAAGTAGTAAATTATTCCGCGAGAAACAACAATGCTTTAAATTACTACAAATACTATTGTTGTACAGTAGATGTGCAGCAATAAGAAGTTCGATAATGGAGGCACTTAATTTTAAAGCTTAAAGAAGACCATTATATTTTCTGCATTCACATCACGACTTGCCACGACATCAGGATGGATCTAGGATGACGCATTGGTTAAGCTTGTTTCTGCTATCAGAACCACAATTAAAGACTTGCTCCAGACTGTTAGGCCGATCTCCGCCTTTACGTACTCGATGATCTTCCAACCAGAGAGACGGTATTTCTTCGTCACTTTCGCCTAAAAACTGTCAATATCTCTTCACTGATTACGTTATCTATGTCTATAGGTTTCGCATCGATTTGATTTAAATATCCTAAAATGCCGGAACAAGCTGCTGATGATAGTACCAAGCAAGCTGAAAAGCCAACTGCGGACGTAAAGACTGAAAAGGAAGCAGAAGTTGAGGTGAAAGAAGAAAAAGTTGAAGCAGCTGAAGAAAAGAAGACCGCGACTGTGGAAACTTCAAAGGGTAGGGTTGCTAAGAAAGGCAATGCTCATCTTCACATGGCAAGGCGTTTTTTATCTGCGTGACTATCAGTCAAACAATCATGTTCAGACAATTGTAGTTCTTGTGGAATTGCCTCTGAGACCATTTGTTTTCAAAGAACTCTAAAATAGTTAGGAATTATCAAATGCAATTGGTATATTTAAGGATGACGTGAGGTTTGCTCCTTATTCGTTCAAGAACAGAATATGTTACCAATATACATTATGTTCGTTTCATTGTTCTGAACAATGGCTACTATTCGACTGATATTCACGTTGATAAGAAGGGCGTTGTGATGAGTCATTTGCTTTTGGGTTGTGAACAAATGGAGACCATCTATGTTTTGTAGAGGAAACAACTGAGGATCCCGTCAAGACAGAGAAAAAGAGTGCCGAAGATCCACAGAGTAAAGAAACTCTTGTGATTACTGAGGAGGATCTGGACAACCTGCAACTTGACGACAATGACGACAACAAAATCACAGTCACCAAAGAAGAAATCGAACCCAAAAAGAAACCCGCCCAGCCTGATCGTTCTGCAAACATCTGGGTCTCTAATATTTCTAGAATCACACGTGCCAACGATTTGAAACAGTTGTTTAAAAAGGCGGGAAACGTCATCAAAGTTAGAATCGTCACCAACGGCCAATGCTACTATGGCTTAGTTATGATGGAGAATGCAGAACTCGCCATGGAGTGTGTTCAAAAGTTCAACAATACGATGTTTAAAGGAAAAAAGATCGTCGTTAGCAAAACACGTCCCGACTTGCTAACGCCCAAAGAATTCCGTAAGAAACAGATGGAAGCAACTGTAGCCAAAAAGAAAGAAGAAGCCAAGCCTAAAACTGAAGAGAAACCCAATGCGACCGAAGCTACTGAAGATGCTCCACCACCAAAGAAAAATGAAGATGATGAACAAGCTAGGAAACTGAAAAGTTTAAAACAAAAATATGAAACGGCTGTTACCGATATAAGCAAGTTAAAGAGAGATCTCAGGTCGTCTGAAAGCAGGTGCAATGGAATGAGAGCCAGATGCAAAGATCTTGAACGGCAAGTAGAGCGTCTGCGCAACGAAAACAGGACTGAGCGCCGACGACTGGCCCAAGAAAAAGAGGAGTTCGAAAAGTCCAAAAAACTCCACGAAATCCGCATGTCAGCAGACAAAGCTGTAGTGGATAAAGAATTATCTGAAGTGAGAAGATTGCGTCAGCATCTGAATGAAAAAATTGATGAATTCAGACTAACATCTAAAAAGTCGTCAGTGGGCAAACGGTCCAGATCCCCGCCCTCAAGACGCATGGAAGATCCCAAGAGATACAGACCGGACAGGGACGAGAAGATGAGGTCATCGAGAGACGACTACCAGAGAGGTCGCACGCCGCCACCCCCTCCAAAACTCAGCGACCGCAAATCCAACGGGAGATACCACGATTACGACGACATCAAGACCAGATCCAGCGATAGGCCTTTCGACTCCTTCAGGGACAAGCAGCCGTACCCTTCAGGGCCCAGCATGGCCCCTAGGGGCGTATGGCCAATGTCGTCGATGCAGCATCAGAAGGACGCTCCTAGAAGACCCATGGGAGGCCCAGGAGGTGCCCCCGGCACTGTTGGGTACCCACCCATGGATACAGGGAGATACGGCGCTTACTTGCCCATTCCAGGAGTGGGCAACCCAGGAGGACCGCCCAGAGGGAACTTTGGAGGAAGCCAGGATTATGGGAAGCCATATGGGGGACACTATTAGATGATGATATCAATTTAACTAGTAAACTTACCTTATCTATATGTATATGTTTGCAACGGTGTCATGAACAGTCGCAATTCTGGTTTGAAGTCGCTCAGAGTCTGTTTACTCAGACCGTTCAAAAATTTTCCGATCTCTGTCTCAAAATATTGCTCGAACAAAATAATGGCCCAGACAAAAGTTATGTGGTATGGAGGGAACGATATAATGGTATCACAACATGACCTCCAAGGTCATTTAGAGGTCAACTTGTACAGTTTAAACAGAACCGTAATGTTTTGACTCCACCGATGGAAATTGCGAAAAAGTTTGCGTTCGGAATTGAACTCAAAAGAAATTAGATTGAACAATTTACAATAATTAATCGCTGAGGGAAAATGACCTTGCCTTTCAAGGTCAGCTTTCAAATTTGAAGTGGACCTTAGTGGTTATGCTTATGAGAATGGACGGAAAAGTTTGTGACCTCATCCTTGGAATTAGTTAATCTACAAAATCGCTTTGATGGTCAAGAGCATTTCAGAACGTTAGGTTTTTCGCTTTTTCCATCGGTGATATCGAAAAGATACGGTTCCATATTTTTCATGTTGATTTTTAAAAGACCTTGAAGGTCATTATGAGGTCTCCAGTATACCCTAAAAACGCTGCCACTTCTGCCTTGACCAATCTTTTGTTTGAGTAGTTAGAGGAGGTCGGAAACTTTTTGAACTTCCAGTATTAGAGTTCTTGGTTGGTTTCTTAGACTTTTTTGTAAGGACATTATTGAGGTCTGACCTTTCACTTTCTCAATCCGGTTATAAATAACTTTTATTATTTCAAATCCTGTTTATCTGACATAATCACAAATTATTTGAAAGTGAATGAGTATTTTGAGTATATAACCAAACCTTCTAAAAAGTCGATATCACATAGTAAGCGATGGTCTGTAGATAGGTTCTATCATAGTGTTAAGCCTTTATAACGGAGTACGGTCTGTTAGAACTTTACAATTGAAATCAAGTAGTGAATATATTCAATCCCTGCTCATGATTTAGAATGATTAATGCAAAAGGTGCATAATATTATCCAGTTAGTGATGACATATAGCGCAAAAAATTACAATATATCATTCTTCATCTACTTTTATCATATGGTGTTTTTTGACGTTAAAATACTACACTTTGACATAATTATTCTTTAGGGATGCCTTTATGCAACATATTATTGACTTTCCTTAGCGAGCATTTGAAGTTATTTTTTGAAGATGATGTTTTTGTGTTGATTTGTGCGGTTTCCACGTATTCTAAATATAGTATTGAAGCAGTTGGTTGGTTTTTATTTTAGGATAAGTCCACAGAATGATCAATCCTCATACACTTTTTCTGATCACCGCAGTTACTGAATCTATAGAAATATGGCGATTCTGAACGGGCAATATTTATCTTTTCCGGTTTACCTTTTGCATTACCGACCTATTTTCGTGCTGTGAGATCACCAAATTATCGGGATCCTACTTAATACAATGCTTGATTTTGTGGCCCTTCTGATGAAAAATTCTGACTGATTATGTTTCTACTCATTCCAGATAATATTTCCAAGACCGAGTCGTGAAATAGCAGAAGTTGAAGGGTTCCGAGGGAGCAAAACGATGGTGACCTTGACAATGGTCTTGACTGTAACCTTCAAGAGCATTTCATGGTCAAGCAAATATTTTTAAATGAGACTGCTTTTTTACATCGGGGAGAGTAAATTTTATGACCGAGTGTGACGTTGACTATGAGCGTCATCATGACCGTCAATACTATTTCAAGGTTAAATCAAAACATTGAAAAACATTTTCGCAGTAAAAAATGTTCGATACCACAGTGGTGAGCTTTGTGGTGGTTACCCAAAAGGTGATCTGGGCCATCATGTTCAAGGACATGTCAAAATTTTACACGCTTAAATATAAAATTTCTTGCTCTATGCCAGGGCTGTCAAACATACGGCCTTTCTTGCGGCCCGCTTCACGGGTCATGTATACATCACATATATAAATTACTCTCAAATACCGAATATGCACAATTCTTACAAACTCAATAATAATGTTGTATAGAAAGATTTTATAATGCGGCCTTCCAAACTGCATTTTTTTTTTGAAGTGGCCCTTGGGCCACATTAAGTTGGACAGCGCTGCTCTATGCAATTTGGTATACAGATTGGAGGGTTACAAATAACATTTAAGATTGACATGACCTTGTCTTTGAGATGAAGATCACACTTTCTGCTTTTTCCAATTCCGGAATAAAAATGAAGGGTTTAAAAACTTTGACTCAAACATCATGGTTCATCTTTTGGTGACGCCACAAACCTTACAAGGTCATGGTTATGGTCAAGGTCATATTCGGAGCTAGAATTTCCCCCCTTTACAATTCTGGTACGAAGAGAAACGGAAAATTCCATTTGAAAATATTCGCTTGGCCTTGAAATGACCTCAACGGTCGTGGACTAGGTCATTAATAAGCTCACCATCATTTTGCCTCCGCCTCCGCCTAGTTTTCGAGATATTTAGGTGGGGGAGTTTAAACTGGACATCCTGTATGGTCGAGCCATAAATATTGCTCGTTTAGATGCTCCATGAGAGTAAGATTTAATACGGAAAAATCCGTCTGCACAACTTTTAAAAGAATTCATCAAATTGTGCAAATATCAATTTTAGAAAGGCTATGCTAATGAGGAATGTTAAACCGTTAACAGTATTCTGAAAATTGGGAGAAATATTTTACCCCCCGCTCTTAACAAGAGATTATTTTAATTTTTTAACAATATGCTCAAGCCTAGATAGCACCAGATACTTTTTTTTTAGGAGTTTCTGATCAGGCTGGTAGAACAAGGTTTCTAAGCTATGGATTACGAAACAATAAAATTTTGGTAGGTATCTAACTGATACAATCTGCTTTAGGTGAAATGTGGGTGAAAACAGTATAATGACAAAATGGTAGCACACCCTAACCAGGCAATGAATAGTAGAGGAAGCCAATGAGTAATAGATGAACCAAATTACCTATTGAGAAGGCCGCAAGCTACTGCACCAAAAAGAGAACTATGCATTTAAAACATCTTCCACTTTAATGTTGTGATTAATTCGGCATGTACGTGTTACTGCGTAAATTAAATATTGTATAGTATTAATGTGTGTTTTAGTTTCCTACGTTCCACAGATACATATATTTGAGCAGGTAAATCATTTTACTGGTCCAAAATGTTGAATGTTTTAGGGATATTTCCCACGTAGACAAAGTTTCGATTGTAATAGCTGAACTTGCCAACAGTGAATTTCTGATAGACGATCATTTCCAATGGAACCGGTCAGATGAGTGCGTAGCATTGGGCAACATCATTTCATTTATTTGTATTCTAACAAAAACTTTACCGCTTACAGTCTAATTTTTTTCTCTTATAACAACGCATGCAACTGATTTATTACAAATTTCTGATCACGTCGACTGGACTGTTGCGCTGTCCACTTCTCGACTGTGTCCTCAATGTCATCTCTGCGTATATTTATCTTCAATCGATGAATTCGAGAAGTATGCTCCAGCATGTTTTGGATCGAAATCGAGCCTTTTTGGAAATTGTCTAGATGGTGGTAGATGCTTCTCGATGGGTGACGACGCTCTCGATATTCTGGTTGCATAATTGCGAGGATGTTATGAAGGTTCCTCATTGTTCGAGTTACGAAGGCGTTAAGTATGACTTACTGTATTTGAAATCTGATAGTCTAAGGGCCGATTTCACCAACATTAATATTATGGACCAATGGGAAAATACCTTATCGAAATGCAATTTGACAGAAGCTGTCAAAGGTCTCTGAATATTAGTGATTTCTATTGAAATATTGAATAAAATCGTGAAAATTCGACTGTATTATAAACAAGACCACTTTTTGATTCCAACATGATGCTTTTGTACAGAAAAAACAGGACAACTTTCATGTATTTTGATATATGTTATAGGTTTACATTTAACAATCCGTTATCCCCTTCAACGAATGGGAATGCGGCAAATAATAGGTCGATTTTCTAGGTGTTAAATTTGGCCACAGATTTGGACGTTTGTTAATGCATGGCACTCTCGAATTTACCAACTTCAATATACAGAAAGTTATCATTACATACCTGTTGAATAGTGTGGATTTGTCTGTATTTTGCAAGAAAATAGAATATAAAATACATTCCATCCAATTCCTCATCGTCCTTTACGTCATAATAGTAATCATTTATTAATTTATGGGTTAATGAATTTCTTCAAAGCAATAAAAACATTATGTCCTCTCCATCTTAAAACACAGATAATATGTATGTGTAAAACGTGTCAATCCCTACATCTCCCTGATGCATAATGCAATTACTATGGACATAGACAAAAAATTATGAAAAATGTTTCACAAATAATGTCTTTTAAGTCCAAAAATCATAAAAACTAGTAATGTTTGTCTTTTTGACTGGCGGGGATATCTATTTGTCACACGCAGGGTTGCCAAGTCTAACGACGATCACGTCCCGTGGTGGAGGGTGCGAAATGAATCTTTTACACTTGCTGGTTTTGAATTTTTTTCGTGAAAATTTACTAGGTAGGTAACATGATTATAAGCATCTTTGGTAGATTGTTCGATCCGGAATGGGAAAGATCTCCTATTTATGAAAATATTTTATATATCTAACCGGTGCAAACAGTGCACAAACACTGTGACATATGATTTATAGCATAACCCGCTGCCCTATCAATACAAATTTAACATACAGGTCGCCTAGCCGTGGGGATGCAGTGGTCGGGATGAATATCACGACAGCAACTGATGATTTGGGCATGTGTGGTAACAAAGTATGAAGTGAAACTCGCTAACTTCACAAATTTGAGGATTTTGTACAATTTGAAAATGATGAAAGATATGTCTGATTTGGCAGGGTAATGTCGCAGCGAAACGGCAGTCACTCTTTCTGACACAGTCCGGATCGAAAGATGATACTCGTGAAATGTATTGATACTTCTAAATATAGGATCCCTACTGTCAAGATGTATAACCCAAGGTACCGACGGAGCTATTTTGCGGCGTCATGGAAATAATTTTAAATTTTCATTTGCATTTTTTCAAGTGTTGTGCAATGATTTTGGGGAAAATGTCACGAATAGTCTTATAAAGCATAGTAGAGTATATTTCAACAGTTGGCGGAACTTGTCTACTGGGACCAGGAGGGTGAAACGGGATATTAATGCACAATCTGGCAACCCTGTCGCACCCTCACAAAATGGCCGATGACAACCACACAAGTCACCGTGTTGTCATTGAATAGCATGCAATTAAACCTTCAGAGTATATGTTTTGTGACTGGTACCAAGAGTTGACAGATGCCACACATGTGTCACTCCTTGAAATGCAATAATCAGCTGTATTCAAATAATGTCTAATATAAATATAACCTAGAATGTGTACTCGTGAAAAAACAAAAATATGGCAAATTTGTAGTTTTTTTGCAGGTTTTAGGTTTGCTGGTAGCTTTAAGGCATATATTTGGGAATTTCTTAATCGCTGTGAATAGTGTGGACGTTTGTTCAGTTCCTGAACAACGAAAAATATTCAACTTTATGGATGTATGGATATCAAAAAACCTGAATGGTTTTGTGGGAATATCAATCTAAGGTGCCATAATGGCTCTGATGAACGGCAAGTAAATGAATGAATGTTTGGAAACGAGCAATGTCTTTTGGTAGAGCCTGTCATCAAGTAGGTGCTTAATGGCTATCTGCAAGAGGTTTATAGGAAAAAACACCCTGTATTGCATATCAATTGAAGAAAATAAAATAAACATGAATAAAAAATCAACAATAGTAATTAAAACATGAATTTTATTCAAAAATTTTGGCTGAATTATATGTAATTTCTTAATATTCAATAAGCTGGTGATGTTTCAGTGACAAGCTGTCATCTCATACTTTGACAGTATTTTGTTTTCAACATTTCATAGCTATTAGTTGCTAAAATTTGTTGATTGAAACTTGAAGCTCATTCGTTGTATTTGTCGGTCTGTTACCCTATAGGTGGAGAATAACGGACTGTTGTTGGTGAAATTGGCCCTTAGTCTAAAATTCTTTCTTCATATGATTGTGGAAGAAAATTTCTAACCTAATTTTTTAATAATCACGTTTATTTGATTCCCCTCTACGTCGCATGCCTTTTTTCCAATAACCTGCCTTGGGGACTATTCCTAATAATTTTCATCTGATTGTTCCAGATTGTGTTTAGAGATGACGAAAAACATTGTTATCAGTTTCTTTTTTCAAAAATGCATTTTTGCATTTTCTACGCAATTTATCTTCAATCGTAACTTGTTAACAAATATTAGTACATCTCTAAAATTCTATGTGAATATTCCACTTTTATGGAAAAATTGAGCAGGTAATCACTTTTTTATCATTTTCTCAAAAAAAAAAAAAAAGATGGAATTTCGACATACAATTTAGAGCTGTTCCAATAATATATGTTAAGTTACGATTGAAGAAAAAATACCCAATAAAATGCGAAAGACCGACATTTTTGTCAAAAAAAATTGAAAACGTTTTTTAGTCATCTCTATACACACCATGAAATAACCAGTTGAAAAGAACTCCCAACACTGCTCCAAACACGCAATTTGAAAAAAGGGCATGCGATCTTATCGTGAATCAAAAGGTGGTAGGGAAGTAACTCGGTGCAGATTTGCTCATTTTTTCAATCAAATTACAAGTCATGTTTTCTTGTTTTCTATTCGCACGGACAAAGTTTTATTTAGATCATTCGGAATAAAATAGGAAATGTTCTCTCAAGTTGGCCGTTCTCGAGTTAGAGGCGTTAAAAGTATAAAAAGTCCTAATATTAATCATACTTATTGCCTTAAAACTCGGTTAAACATTTTTCCAAGTTGCGAAGTCAGCGAAGAAAACATTTATTGAAATTGTTTATTTTTAGACTTACTATGGATATTTTTTTGTTCTGAATGATGCGAAAAGAACTATTGTTGTTTTTTTTAACAAAAGTTAAACAAATTTACACCGGGTCACCACCCGATAGCATCTTGATTTATGTTAAGGACCATCCACCAAACATGACTGAAAACAAGTCGAATCGCCTACCAAGGACGATACAGTTTATCACCGTTTTTTGCTTGTATAGGGTTTGTCCGGAAAGTAATAGGACTGAGTCGATTAAAAAAATTATTGAGCCAATCGTTACAATTCTTTAAAAACTTTCAAAATAGGCTCCTTCTGCGTCGATGCAGCGCTGTCAGCGCGATTTCCAAGCATTGAAGGCGCCACGGAAGGCATTCTCCGGAATAACCTTGAGAGCCGCGGTGTATGCTGCTTGGATCCCCTCTGTCGTCTCAAAATGTTTGCCTTTCATCGGCCTTTTCAGACGAGGAAACAAAAAAAAGTCCGGGGGGCCACATCTGGGCTGTAGGGCAGCTGCGGAAGTGTTGGGATGCCGGCCTTGGTCAGGTAGCTGTTCACAAGAAAGGCGGTGTGAGCCGGGGCGTTGTCGTGGTGCAACTTCCAGTCGGCTGCGATGTCTTGTCGGACCCGACTGACCCTTCGTTTGAGTCTCCTGAGCACCTCCACGTAAAACTAGGCGTTGACGGTTTGTCCAGGAGGAACAGATTCATGGTGGACGATGCCTTTGATGTCAAAAAAGACAATGAGCATCGTTTTCACTTTGGATTTGCTCATTCTTCCCTTTTTTGGAGACGCAGTCGTGTGCCACTCGGAAGATTGCCTCTTTGTCTCGGGATCATACTCAAAGATCCACGACTCGTCACCTGTGATTACGTTATTCAAAAATTGGGTGTCACTTTCACACATTTTCAAATTTTCTTGGCACACTTCCACTCGCCGCAATTTCTGGTCGTCAGTGAGCACTTTTGGGACCATCTTCGCGCACACCTTCCGCATGTTCAAATGCTGTGTCACAATGTCATGAACCACAGATTTTGGTAAATTTAACATCTGGGTAATTAAACGAATACTTAGTCGACGATCTCATGATATAACAACGTAACTCACCTGTAGCAAGTGAATTAAATGTCTCATGTTAGATTCGCGATGTATCATTTTTACACCTTGAAACTTGTATAGTTGTCGTCTTGGTGGGTCAAAGTAAG